TTTAAAGTGTACAGTTCAGTGTTTTTTTAGTATACTCACAAGGTTGTGCAGCCATCCTGACTATCTAATTCCAGAACATTTTCATCACCCCAAATGAAACTCCATACCCATTAACACTCACTCTCCATTCTCCCTTTTCCCCAGCTCCTGACAACCACTAATCTGTTTTCTGTCTCTATGTATTTGTCTGTTCTGGACATTTGATATAAATGGAATCATACAATCTGTGGCCTTTTGTGTCTGGCTTCTTTCACTTAGCATAGTATTTTCAAGGTTCATCCATGTTGTATCATGAATCGGTATTTCACTCTTATGGCTGAATAATATTTTGGTGTATGAATATACCACATTTTGTTTATCTGTTTATCAGTCGATAGACTTTTGAGTTTTTTCCACTTTTTGGCTATTATGAATAATGCTGCTATGAACATTCATGTACAAGTCTTTGTATAAACATGTTTTCATCTCTCTTAGGTGTATACCTAGGAGTAGAGTTGCTGGATCATTTGATAACCCTGTTTAACTTTTTGAGGAAGGGCCAAACTATTTCCTAAAATGACTGCACCATTTTATATTCCCAACAACAGGCTACAAGGGTTACAATTTCTCCACATCCTTGCCACCAACACTTGTTATTTTCTGTTTTGTTTGTTTGTTTTTTTAGTGATAGCCTTCCTTGTGGATGTGAAATGGTATGTGATTATGGTTTTGATTTTGCATTTCCCTAATGACTAATGATGTTGAGCATCTTTTCATGTGTTTATTGGCCATTTGTGTATCTTCCTTGGAGAAATGTTTACTTAAATCGTTTGCTCATTTTTAAATTGGGCTATCTTTTATTATTTAGTTGTAAGAGTTCTTTATATATTCTGGATATTACACCTTTATCAGATATATGACTTGCAAGTATTTCCAGGAATGTAGTCTGTGGGTTGTCTTTTTACTTTCTTGATAATGTCCTTTGATGCACAAATGTTTTTAATTTTGATGAAGTCCTATTTATTTATTTATTTTGTTGCTTGTGTGTTTGGTGTGATGTCTAAGAAGCTGTTGCCTAATCTGAGGTCATGAAGATTTAGGTCTTTGATCCACTTTGAGTTAATTATTTTTGTGTGGTATGAGGAAAGGATTTAGATCCATTCTATAGTCTAGATAGCCTACAGTTGAGCAGTGTCAGTGACTATGAACTAAAGACCCTGATGGTCAATAGTTTGGCATCTGATTGAACAAATAGTCACTTATCCATCGGCATTGGTCTTTTTAACAATTAATATTGAGATAATTGCACTTAATACATTGTGCTTTGTATTGTAGTGTCCATTTAGCTTGGCTCCTGAGGCATAGTGAATATAGTCTGAGTGTATAATTGGATTGAATGGAATAAATGATTCATCTGTTATTTAGCTTTTTGTTCTTGTGTAGATAGTCACATGTATTTACCGGGAAAAATATGGTAGAAGTTTTATTTTGATGATACTAGATTATTTTGATAATGATTAACAGGATAAGCTGACTCTGGACATATCCTGATAGTCTCTGCCAAGGTTTTGAAATAAACAGCTGGAGAAATTCAGATTTATATTATCTGTTCCTGCAGCTGCTTATGTTCTTATAAGCAAGGGTCAGGGAATATAATAGGTTTTCTGATAGGTTTTAGATAAAATGTGAAATAACAATTCATGTCAAGGACATTGTTGCCAAATATATTTGGCATGATTTATATATTGAATCCCAAGGGAAATTCACAAACAAAAACCTCACAAAAGTTAGGAAGAAGCAAAAACCATGAGACCCTGGAACATTTTGTCACTTACTGTGCAGATTATCTTGAAACTGAGACAGGGAAATACATCACATATCTCTGTTGTGATGGAAAATATTCAGTCTAGTAGAAAAGGTCTCAGGCTGAAGAGTGGTATATTGTCCTGTATAGTCTCATTTCAGGCCTGAACCGCACACTTGGACAGTGCTGATGCTCTTAGGTATGTCTAGTATGTCCCTTTGAAGAGGAAGTCCTACCCTAAACCATGTCCCACTTGACTAGGGCCTTGATATTTTGCCTAGGCCTTGCCTTTCTCTGTCTCAGAATCTTGTTTCTTTATCTAACCTCTTTTTTTTACCCTTCCTTCAGAGGGGGGAGAAAAGTATCTCTGTGTGTTCTTGATCCCATTCCCTCTCTACTCCAAAATCTTGCTCTAGGAAACATTTTTTATGTCTCATATCTTTATTTTAGTCAGAAATTATAGAAGTGAAAGAATTCTGCTAAGCATATGTCAAAATACCTATCTCTAGAGATACGTCTGAGTCTTGTTAGTTTCAGTGGGAATTTTGGAGAAAGAGGGTGAGGTATACTCAGCAGAACCAAGGAGATGCTGGGTTGCTAGCTCAAACAATGGAAAAAGTGGAAATGTAACAAACTAGGGAAGAGCGATGAATGTGGAAGGGCATAAGTCTCAGAGTAACCAAGATATGGGAAAAATGGACCAAAGAGAGACATTCTCCAAAGATACAGGCATCAAATAATGTTGTTAAATAACTAAAATTCGCGCAGGTCTATGCCAAGACTAGCGCCGTGGAAATTTCTAGAGATGGATGACATTAGAGCATATTTAAATATGAATTAATATCACAGGTTAGCTTCCATGGTAAACAGATCTGAGATGCAGATTAGCTTGCAGGGAGTTTATTTAGAGTGTTCTCGGGATACACACCTGGGGAAGGGGAGGGGTGGAAAGGGAAAGAAAGGGAAGAAGCAGGAGTGGACAGAGGGAGAAGCTGGGCTGCGGTACAGGCCCCACCACAGCCTCGGCGGGGAGCTCTGGAGCTGGCTCAGACACACATCTCTGGCCCAAACTCCTCGTCAGAGCTCCAGGTGCATGATGCCAGCGATCCACTGGACAGTCTCACCTTGCCAATGATCCTTAATTCCCCAAATGTCCATGCCTTTTGCCTATACTCCCTTGGCTTGTTAAAATGATACCAATTGGTAAAATCTGGCAAGAGGTAAGAATAACACAGATGTTTGGAAGGAAGAGAAACTCTGCTGTATGTAGGAAACTACAGCTACTTCATGGTGTGCAAAAATGATGAGCATGTGAAAACCATTGAGTGGAGATAGACACCTTCAACCACTTTGTGATTTCTACCAAGTCACCTGGAGTTGGCGTCTCTTCTTCACTAGGAGTCACAATTGTCCTTTTTATCACTCAACCTAGACTGGGCCCAGCACACTACAACCTGGGATAGACTCTCTTGACCACCTCCCTTGGTCACTGCTCCTGCCCACTGATCCTGACCCTTTTAGTCAGAGACTGGTTGTTGTTTTAAACTGCTGGCTTTAGGCCAGGTTTTTTATGCAGAGAAGTCTCCACTATCCCTCCCCCAACCCCATTTCTATCACTTGGTGCCCATAGTGTAAGGTGTCTCGGCCTTCTCCTCTCCCTCAACATTATCCTCATTCTGCTCTTTGATTCGTCTGTAACCTTGATCCAGTTGCTAGGCCTGCTGGGGCCTTTTCTATGTCTCTTGATCCCTATCCCAGCGAGGGAAAGGAAAGCATGACCTCTGTCCTCAACTCCTGATTTATTTGATTGTCACTGAAGCCAAATGCAGTTTAAAGGCACACAAAAGCCCGCACAAGTGTTCAATCTTGATATGTGTTATCGGGTAGACACAATACCCACATGATTAACAGTTTAAAATTAAAAAAAAAATAAACAACGATTTCTTATGATGTTGTTTTACAGACTCAGCCACATACATATTATGCACTAATTCCCCCAAGTATAACATTCCTTCACATTTGTACAGACCCTCAGATATCAAAGAACTTCTGCTTTAATGCCTCTCACAAAATCTCTAGGCTTTATTATCTTTGTTTTACAGATGAGGAAAACAAAGGTCCAGAGAAGGCACAGTGTAGAGAGAAGCAGCGAGGATATTTAGTATATAGATAAGAACTCTGGCCTAGGAGTCAGCAGACCTGGATTCGCATACCCGTATCTTTGTCAGGTTGGAGCAAGGCAGAGGTTGGGAACCAGCCTTCATCTAAAAGGGTTTTGATAACTGAGGCAAAGAATAATATGTTGGGAACATTTATATAATTTCTTAATATACATAGGCCTCATTGGAAGGTAATTTTCTCAGTGATATTCCTAGTATTCCTAAGAAAGGAAGTGTAATTTTAGGTACATACTGACAATATTTGAAGACAAGTACTTAGATGAAAGATGAAAGTTGTAGTCTATCTTAGAGATGAAATTGAAGAATGCTGTAGTTATTACTTTGCAAAGGATATTTTGACTGATGCAGTATATGGGTATTGGTTTTATGATTTATCTTATCATCTGGCGCCTAAACTATCAATTGACTTGTGAAAACAGTATTTTGGTTTAAAACATGTTAGGGATCTGTTATGGATTGAATGGTGTTCCCCAAAAAGATACGTTGAAGTTCTAATGCCTATACCTGTGGCTGTGACCTTGTTTAGGGAAATAGCGTCTTTCTTTGAAGATATTATCTCTTAAATCATGCCAGAATAGGGTGGGTCCTAGTCCTAATCCCTTCTGAGTGGTGTCTTATAAAAGGGGAGAACAGACACAGAAACAGAGGCACACACACAGGGGGATGGTACCATGTAAAGATACAGCTAACAAGCAGCAAAGGAATGCCAAGGATTGCCAGCAGCCATTAGAAGCTGAGAGAGAGACCTGGAACAGTTTCTCAAAGTCCTCAGGAAAAATCAACACAACAAATACCCTGATTTAGACTTCTAACCTCCAGAACTGTGAAACAATAAATTTGTTTTCCTTAAAGCTATCCACTTGTGGTATTTTGTTATGGCAGCCCCAGGATACTAACACAGGATCTATATACAACCTCTAATTTGTCTGGTTAATAGCTTAGGAGAGTGGGATGGAAGCATTATTTCCAGCTGCTTTTCAAAGTGGGTTAAAAGAAGTGTCCACCAAAATGAATAAATTTTTCCTTTCTTTACACAGATTGCTTCCTAGAGTGCCAAGATCTTTTCCATTCAACACCTCAGTCATGTTCAAAAAGACTGTGTTTGTAGAGTTCACGGATCACCTTTTCAACATCGCCAAGCCCAGGCCACCCTGGATGGGTAATGAAAATACATTGAATGTTTACTTATGAAACTGGGTATCTTATCTTCTAGCTAATATTCCCCAATCTTGGGGCTGCAGTTAAAGAAGGCAGTTGCCAAAGAGAATGTTTTTTTGGCCAGGCTTCTTTTACTGTCACCTCTCAGGGAAATAAGAGAGGGGACTTCTTATTTCAGAGCCATGACATTCGCTCCTTTACGCTGGCTGAACGCTTTAGTCTCTTTGCTAGACTGTCCTCCTCTGTTTGTCCTCTAGATGTTGGAATGCCCCAGTGCTTGATCCCGAGTTCCTTTTCTTTTCTCTCTGCCTTCAGTCTCTAGGTGATCTGATCAAGTCTCAGAGCTTTAAAATGTCACCTATATGCTAATAACTCCCAAATTTATGTCTTCTGTCCAGACCTCTCCCCTGAAATTCAACTGCTTATTTGATGCCTCCACTTAGATGTCAAATAGGTATGTAACAGGATGCTAAAATAGGACATTTCCTATCTTGGAATTATAGTGGTCCAAATTGGTTCCGTAACCCTTAGTCCATCATTCATCTCCAGCCTATATAAAAGAAGGCTAGGACCTTATGAAAGAGTTTAGATGTGAGGATTTATTTGGAGAGAATTTTTGGTGTTTTGTATGTTTCCCACCCAATGAGTGGAGGGAGGCCTCTCCTTCATGACAAAATATAATGAAAGAGGCTTCAAGAGATCCACTCAGAAGACTTGCCATAGGACCTTTGGAGCTTAGAAGACACTGAATTGTTTGTCTGGCTTTTGTCTGGAAAATTTCAATCCAGAGGCTGGGTGGAACTTTCCTTGGTAGCATAGCAAGAAGATTGGGCTATAGTGGAAGCAAATTGCACCTCCACTGTTAGGGGTGAAGCAAGGAAGGTAACAGGACTAGACTTGTCTTAAGAAGACCCTGTCTGAGAGGTCTTCCTGCCGTGGCTAGGTGACCTCAACAGAAAAGGTCTATGGTTTGTACTGCCAGAAACAGAAATAGAGTAGAGATACAAGTCACCAGCTGAAGAGGTACAGTTGGGTGTCCTCATATTAGGGAGGGCGGTCCCCAAAGAACTCCTAAAATTTCCCTAAGAAAGAGCCAGAATTTTGGCGTGTGCCACAACCGGGGGTACCAGCGCCACATTACCACTGCTCCTTCCAGCAAAGACCGTGTCCTTATGCTCCTTTTCCCTACCCTCTTAGCAGCTGTGCCAGCCTCAAAGGGTCTGGAGGCAGAAAGGTGAGTGGGGTAGGCAGATTAGGAGAGGAAGATGGAAAAACATTGAAGCTGCCAACGAAACCACGTTTTCCCATTATAGCTTTCTGAGCCTGTCACAACTTAGTTGGAGGGAACTTTAAATTGTGTTGTTTTTGTTAGATGCCGTCAAGTGGGTTCTGACTCATAGCAACCCTACGTACAATAGAATGAAACACTGCCCCGTGCGGCGCCATCCTCACAGTCGTTGCTGTGTTTGAGCCCATGGTTGCAGCCACTGAGTCAGTCCATCTCGTTGAGGGTCTTCCTCTTTTTAGCTGACCTTGTACTTTACCAAGCATGATGTCCTTCTCCAGGGACTGGTCCCTCCTGAGAACATGTCCACAGTATGTGAGAAGAAGTCTTGCCAGCTTTGCTTTCAATGAGCATTCTGGCTGTACTTCTTCCAAGACAGATTTGTTCATTCTTCTGGCAGTCTGTAGTATATTCAATATTCTTCACCAACACCATAAATTCAGAAGCATCAATTCTTCTTTGGTCTTCCTTATTATTCATTGTCCAGCTTTCGCATGCATGTGAGGTGATTGAAAATACCATGGCTTGGGTCAGGAGCACCCATTATAGTCTTCCCATTATAGCTTTCTGAGCCTGTCAGAACTTAGTTGGAACTTTAAATTGTAGGATCAAAAGTTTGATATTAGACTGGACTTGACTTGTTAGTACTTTAAAATGATGCTGTTTGTTAATACCTGAAGGTGACTAGAAAATATTTGGGATTGGGTTAAGTGCAAGAAAGGGAGATTCCACATAACACAATTAAAAACAGTGGTATGAGAAAAATAACGCCATTTCATTTCTTCATCTCACTGAATCCAGTTCATCAAGAAACTTTATACTTAATATGTGCATAAGACAGTGATCTTGATTTTCTGTGTCACTGTCAATGGCATGAATATCCATTCAGTTGCACAAGCCAGAATCATAGGAGTTCATCTTTGATTCCTCGCTCTCTTTTTTTCTCCTATCTCCAGCAACCAATCTGTCAGCAAGTCTTATTGACTCCTTCTCCAAAACAAGTTCCAAATATGTTTACTTCTTGGAAAATCCAAATTCATCCAAATTTCTGTGGTCTATGAAGTCCTACATAGCATATTCCTTGCCTACCTCTATTACCTGATTTTCTATTACTCCCCTTCTCATTCACTTTGCTTCAACTACATGTTACTCAACTATGCCAAGCTTGTTCCTGCCTCAGAACTTTTTCATTTGTTTTATCTGCTTTGAATACTCTTCTAGAAGATCTTTGCAAGTTTTGCTCCTTTTTCATTAGTCATATCTCTGTTCAGATGCCACCTCCTTAGAGAGAATCTTCTTGACCGCTATATTTAAAGTGTCCCCTACCTCCTGCCTCGTTTTCTAGCACACCACCACCATCTATAATATTTGTAACAATCTGAAATGTTCCTATTTATTTGTTCACTTACTTAATGTCTCTAGAACGCGATCTCCATAGTCTGTGTTGTTTACCACTGTCTTAGTTATCTAGTGCTACTATAACAGAAATATCACAAATGGTGGCTTTAACAAACAGAAACTTATTTTCTCACAGTTTAGGAGACAGGGGTCTGAATTCAGGGTGCCGGCTCTAGCGGAAGGCTTTCTCTGTCTGTTGACTCTGGTAGAAGGAGGTCCTTGTCTTTTCTGTGCTTCTGCTCCTGGGCGATCTTCATGTGGCTTGGCATCTCTCTTCCTTCATCTCTGCTTCCTAGCTTGCTTGTTTAATCTCTTTTATTTCTCGAAAGAGATTGACTCAACATACAGTCTACAGTAATCCTATCTCGTTAATTTAACAAAGACAGCTTATTTCCAAATGGGATTATAACCACAGGCACAGAGGTTAGGATTTACAACACATATTTTGGGGGGGGTACCGTTCAATCCATAACATTCCATCCTTTGCCCCCCCCCCCCAAATTCATGTCCTTCCCACGTGCAAAACACATTCACCCTATCACATCATTCCAAAAGTCTTCAGTGTAAGTCCCAAATCTCCTCTTCTGAATCATCTAAATCTAATATGGGTGAGACTTGAGGTGTATTCCATCCTGGGGCAAAATTCCTCTTCATCTGTGAACCTGTGAAATCTAGAATATGAGTTGTCTGTTTCTAAAGTAAAATGGTAGAACAGGCACAAGGTAGACATTTCCGTTACAAATGCAAGAAATTGGAGGGAAAGAAGGGATAACAGGCACCTCGCAAGTCCAAAACCCAGTAGAACAAATTACATTAGCTCTCAAGGCTTGAAAATAATCCTCTCATATGAGACCATCTGGGCAATAGCCCAGCTCTCTAGACTCTGGGGGTTGGCCATGCCTCCTGGATTCTGGGTGGAGGCCCCTCAGCCCTGGGCTTCAGCTCTACCTTCCAGGCCCACTGGGAGGGCAACTCTGCTCCCTCAGCTTTGGGTGGCTCCATTCCCCTAGTCCAGCTGAGTGGCAGCCCCCACCCCCTCAGCCTCAGTAGGCCCTGTTCTTCTGTCCCTTGGGCATGGTAATCCCACCCCCTTAGCTTTGGGCAGTGGCCCCATTCCCGTGGCACACCTTAATGGCAGCACCACACCCCAGAACCGAGTTGGCGAAGATCTAACTCTTTGAAACCTAGGAGACTGTGGCCCTGCTCTCTGAGATCCAGGAGACTTTGGCCCCACCCTTTGAAACTGAGAAGACCCTGCTTCCTGTGCTCCTTCCAACAGTTCTCCTGATCTCTGAGCTTCTTCAGGGTTGATCCTTTTCTTTTCTTGGAGGACAACAGATGTAGCTCCTTTGGCCTGTTTCCTGCCTGTAGAATTCCAAGAGGCAGACAGCATTCTTTCCTTTTGTTCTGTCTCTGTCCCCTTCAGTCTAAGCTGGTGGGTTTTCTGCTGTGGTAGTTGGTTAGATTCATCAGTCACAGGCTTCATCTCTTTAACAAAAGAATGTGTAGCCACATCCTTGGTGAAAATTCTAGGACACGTGTCCTTAGTTTTTTAAACAGAATTTTCCAAATCTTTAAGTTTTGTTTTCATTTTGCCCAGTTCATTTTTAAGTCCATCTCTTTCCTCTTGCATTTTACTATAAGCAGCAAGGAGAAACCATGTGGCCCCTTTGAGAGCTTGCTTAGAAATCTCCTCAGCTAAATATCCAAATTCATCACTCTCAAGTTCTACCTTCCACCAAACATTTAAACATAATTCAGACAAGTTCTTTGCCATTGCATAAAAAGCATCACCCTTCCTTCATTGTCCAATTACATGTTCATCATTTCTTTTAAAGACTCACCAGAAGCACATTTAATGTCCACATTAAATGGACATTAATCAATCCGTTCCTGGCACCATATGTATTCTCTAAGATGACAGAGACTTTCTCTACGGCTCTCCTCACTTCCTTCTGAGCCCTCACCAGAATTACCTTTGATGTCCAAAATTCTGCCAACAATCTCTTCAAGGTAATCTAGGCTTTTACTGTTAGGCATCTTAAAACTCTTCCAGCCTCTATCCATTACCCAGTTCTAAAACCACTTCCACATTTTTAGGTATCTGTTTGAGCAGCACTACCACTTCTTGGTACCGAATTCTGTCTTAGTTCTCTAGTGCTGCTATAACAGAAATACCACAAATGGGTGGCTTTAACAAACAGAAATTTATTTTCTCACAGTTTAGGAGGCTAGAAGTCCAAATTCAGGATGCTGGCTCTAGGGGAAGGCCTTCTCTCTCTGTCAGCTCTGGAGGAAGGTCCTTGTCTCTTCTGAGCTTCTGCTCCTGGGCGATCTTCATGGGACTTGGCATCTCTCTTCCCCCATCTCTGCTTCTTAGTTTTCTTGTTTAATCTCTTTTATTTCTCAAAAAAGTTTGACTCAAAATACACCCTACACTAATCCTGTCTCATTAACATAAAGACAACTCATTCCCAAATGAGATTATAACCACAGGCATAGAAGTTAGGATTTACAACATGTATTTTTGGAGCCCTGGAGGCGCAGTGGTTAAAGCGCTCTGCTGCGAACCAAAAGATCAGTGGTTACACACCAGCCACTCCAAAGGAGAAAAATGTGGCAGTCTGCTTCCATAAAGAATTACAGTCTTGAAAATTCTATGGGGCAGTTCTACTCTGTCCTATAGGGTTTCTATGAGTTGGACTCGACTCTACGTCTATGGGTTTGGTTTTGGTTTTTATTTTAGGGGAACACAATTCAATCCATAACAGTCACTATATCTCCAGCATGTAGGACAGTTTCTACAATATAGTAGGAACTCAAATATTTGTTGAATGAATGAATACATTGGATGAATTGCCAGAAATCTTTCCTCAGAACAACTATGAGGTTGAGCAGATGCTGGCAGCAAGCATATGCTGCTTTTTGTCAATAATCAGAGGGACAGGCTTCTCTACTATGACTTAGTCTCTCGCTGTTGTAATAACAAATTTCCTAGAGTGCCACCCTCCAAATAACCTTTAGGGGTATCTCATTATTGCAGGTCTGCTGGGTCCTACCATCCGGGCTGAGGTTTATGACACAGTAATAATTACACTTAAGAACATGGCTTCTCATCCTATCAGTCTTCATGCTGTTGGCGTAGCCTACTGGAAAGCTTCTGAGGGTGAGTCAAATGTCCTCTTATTGTCCTGTCCTCCGAAGGAGACAAGAGTGAGATATGTGTGCTTGGTGATGGTGGCACACCTGGAATTGTATCCATTCTTTCATGTACAAATTTCCTAAGTGATAATAATAATAATAATTTTGAGTACAATGTATTGAGTACAAGGCTACACGGTTAGTGAGTGGTTGGAGTCAGGATTCAAATCTAGGCCCATCTAACTCCAGAACTTGTGCTCTGAACAACTATGCTACAGTATAAGGATTCATATAAATAATTTTGAATTTTGCTCATGTAACTGCAAAGTTCCACAGAGTGTATATAGCTTCTGGTATGACTGGATCGAAGGATTCCAATGATTCCCTCAGCATCATGGTCTTTTTTTCACCATATCTTCTGTGCTTTCCTTCCTTTTGATTTCATTCACAGGTAGGCTTTTCCAGCATACTGGCAAAGATAGACACTGGCAGCTCAAGGCATTCACAGTTCTTACTCGTTCTACAGTCAGTGATCAGGGGGATTGGAGAGCCTCTTTCTCAATACTTCTCAATGTTAGGTGACAGGGAAGAGTTGGAAATGAGAAGGTGAGATTAGCCCCACCCAGTTCGTCTGCAATTCTCCACAAGAAAGGGGGGGTTCATGTCATCAGAAGGAAGAGGGAAGGAAAAGCATGTCAGGTATACAGAAATATAACTACCACAGGGCTCTATAACCAGGTCTCAGGAAGGTCAAAAAATTGGCCATCTTGATTTGAAACAACCATAGCTCCCCACCTCTATAAAAAGATCTCCCTAGAGCTCCAAAGATCTCTGCTTCGCATGGGTCACAGACATCTTTGGTAAAACTAAACATGGTCTGAAAATTGATGTGGGCAGCCTACAGTGTTGCAAAATTAGTACCTATAGCTAGCATAGAGTTTCATAGAAAGAAAACAGTGAATTATTAGGGATTGTACTCAAACTTCTTGAGGAAGCACATTGGCTGAGCAGAGGCATAGATGTTAGGGGAGGGGCCAGTGAGAGGGGCAAGGAGAAAAGGAGAAAAAAGAATGTATCCATGCCTTCTGAGTTTGTAGATCCCATATCTAGAGATTCCAAAACCCAAGGAAGGCAATAAAGGGAAGAATACATAGACTAAAGCAAGCAGAGCTAGATTGGCCACTGATTACGACTACCCTCTGCTCATGTCTCTGCCTGGCATACCAGTCAGAGAAGAGCAAGCACTAAGACCAACCTCTGAGCTTTCATACACCAGGTGACATTATCAGTGCATGGCATAGCCATTTGTTCTCATTGTCAGAAATTGCAAACTTCCTTCAAATCTTTTGAGGGCCTGCCTGAACATTATGTCTGTCTCTCAGGGTTACTAGACTATAAACATCTCGAGATGTCTTGTTCATTGTTGTATTCTCAGCACATAACATGGTACCTAGCCTATAATGGATGCTAGATACAAGAACCAAGGCGTAGCAGACACCAGTCACTTTTTCTGCAAAAAACTGAAACAAGACCCATACCTCACACCATGCACAAAACCCAACTCAAAATGGATCAAAGACTTAAATATAAAATTGAAAACGATAAAGATCATGGAAGAAAAAATAGGGACAATACTAGGAGCCCTAATACATGGCATAAATACAATATGAACCGTAAGTAACAAGGCACAAGCACCAAAAGAGAGACTAGATAACTGGGAGCTCCTAAAAATCAAACACTTAGGCTCATCCAAAG